TATATATATATATATATATATATATATAAAATTCATGACTGGGAGAGACATGGAAACAAGGTCAGCCAATGAATAGGCATAGCAACTAAATCAGCCAATGGGAGCTTAAACAGATCTGAATCTGTGCAGAGAATTGAAACAGAAACTTAAGCCGTCTGCTGCTCTGAGAAGTAAACTAGCAGTCTGTCTGCGCTTGTCTGCTGAAATGAAACTAACTGCTGAAATGAAACTAACTGCTTGTGTTTGCTTGTAACTCTCCTGTTGGTATTGTACATTTATTCATCTATTATTATGTATATAAAGAAGTTAATGAATCCATCTAAATCAGTTATCTGTGTGTGCTTCTGGATTTGAATTTATGCAACACTGACAATATAGTCATAATAACACTCCTTTCTCAGAGAGTCAAGGACATCTTTCCCTGCACCTGGAGTGTTGTGACTGGGAGGCATCACCAGTTGGGATAGTGCCTGATTGGGCCATGTGATGGACATGTAAGTGCTGGGAAGGGGCTTGGACTTTCATTTGGTTGGGGAAAACCCGGAAGCTTTCAGAGTCAGGTTTTCCCAGATGTGCCAAAATGATATCTCTAATAAAATGGAACTTTGAGGAACTTTAAACCTCAGAGTTTTCTTTCGTTGGGGGTGTTACTTGGAACCCTGACAACCTGCAGAAAGAACTTCTCTTCCACCTGAACTCAAAACACACCCTCTTGAAGAGAGCCAGTTAGCAAAGCTCTCCCAAAAGCAAGAACCAGGAGGGGGGAAAAAACAAGACAAGACAAGCAGGAACTAACAATGGATGGAGACTACCGTATTTTTCGGAGTGTAAGATGCACTGGAGTAAAAGGCGCACCAAGGTTTTGAAGAGGCAAATTAAAAAAAAAAGTAAGTAGGTAGATAGAGGGATAGAGATGGAGAGAAAGAGAGAGAAATACAGTAGGTAGGTAGGGAGAGAAAGAGAGTAGGTACGTAGGTAGAGGGAGGGAGGGAGGGAGGGAGGGAGAGAGAGAGTGTGTGTAGAAGGTAGGGAGAGAGAGTAGGTAGGTAGGTAGGTAGGTAGAGGGATAGAGAGAGAGAAAGAGAGAAATACAGTAGGTAGGGAGAGAGAAAGAGAAGGTAGGTAGGTAGGTAGATAGAGGGATAGAGAGAGAGAGAGAAAGAGAGAAATACAGTAGGTAGGTAGGGAGAGAGAGTAGATAAGTAGGCAGATGTTTCCAGGTGTATTTATTCATGTGGTGATGAAGGAAATCGCTGACAATCTGCAGCATCTAAGACTTTGTTTCTGCTGGCACAACACTTGATCAATGTAATTCTTATCAATCGGGAGTGTGAGCTGACGTCGCGACAATACGATGTGTGATCTTGGAGCTCCAAGATCGCAGTCAATATTTCTGCCACTGGACGGTCCTTTTGGACCTAAACCATCCCGAAGAGATGGTGATAGAGAAGAGTACGTCCTGCTGATCTCAGGGACACCGCAAAGTCCCTGATTGAGCCAGAAGAAGCTTTTTTTTCCAATGACAGAAACCCAACCCTGAAGCTGCTAAAGTTGGGACAGCTCCAAAACGGAAAGAAAACTGAAGAGAAAGTGTGTAGGTTTGGTGAGGAAATTTTATTATTAGAAAAGAGACTACCTTAAGAAAATTAAAACTAAATTAAAATTGAAGACAAAAGAAAACAAGCGGCGAAATTAAGCTACATTAGACTTAGTATGTTATCCTTTTTTTTAATTTTTCTTTTTACGAATGGAAGTTCTGCAAATGTTTCCTATTTTTTAAATTGGAAGACTCAGTTTTTCTTCTTCCACTTTTTATTCTTTATTTTTTCTATATATAATGGTGGATTGAAATTTTCTTTTTTCTTTTTGTTTTTTTACAAAGTTTGATTGGATTTTTTTTTATTTATTTAGAATTTTTCTCCGTAAGTTTGCTATCTAAAGAGGGCTGTAACAGCAGAGAGAGAGAGAAAAGTAACACTGCCACTTTAAGGCTGGAGGCTTGGAAACATTGTTTTTTTCTTTCTTTTCTTTGATCATCGGAGTTACACTTCAAAGCCTTTCAGTTTGTTTATTGAGAGTGATAGTGGAAAGAGCACGGATTGTTTACAGAGGTGCCCTTTTGGAGTTTCTATTAGTACCTGGACTGCAGTGAAGATAAAGCTTTGACCTGAAAGACTATAATGAATTTGGTTGGAATGCAATAAAAGCCTTGAATGCTATAGTGGCAGTGTTTATAAGCTGGAAGACCTCAAAGTACAGAAGAAGAAAAAAGAGAAAATTTGATGGAAGTAAGAAGAAAAATCTTGATTGAAACATTGGTGATAACCAAACAAAAGTTGATGAAAGGAACAGATGGAGGGTTTCGAGTGCTCATAAGGTATACAATGAGCAACAAGCTGTGAAAAGAAGTTCATAAAAGACCTACTAAGAAAACAACTAGAATATTAATTCCACAAATGACACGAGATATAAAACTGCACTACTACTGGAAAGACAAGGGTTAATGTAGTGAAAGTTTACAATAAAACTTAGTTAAACTTAGAGTATTATATATAACCATATAAATGAGTAATAATGATAATAATACATATATAGGTACTAGTTTGAGGATATGAAATTTTATACAAACTGCAAATGAGGACTATGAGAGGAAATTTAAAAGTATTTGTTATTAATCAATTTTTATTTAGAATATGTTAGAAAGATGAAATGTTATTGGATGATTTTAGGAGGATCTAATGGAATGCTATTATATANCCGGCAGATGGAATTCGGAGGAGGCCTAATCTGTGGGATCTAATCGGTCTGGTGGAGGTGATTGGCAGCAGGCGGTCTCTCAAGTACCCAGGTCAAACCCAAAATCAGCTTCATTCCCTCCCTCCTCCCCATTTGAATGTATCTTTAAGCCAAATTTAGAAAGATGAGAAGTCATCTTACCTGACTAGCAAGTTCCCGCGTGGGCGAGAGCACAAGAGCTCTGAAACCTTTGTTCATGGGCTGCTTCAGGTGGGTTAAAATGGGAATGCTGAATGCCAACGTCTTCCCTGAGCCAGTGGGAGCACAAGCCAGGAGCTCACGACCCTGGGATGCAAAAGGAAAGCAACAAGGCTCAGCTGAACGCAGAGTATATAAACGGTGCTCGAAAAGGGGCAAAGGAGGGGGGCCATAGCAGGCGGGTGAATGCCAGCTATAGGCTGGCATTTCTAATATCTTGAGGGCACTAAGCACTTGCAATAATTAAGCCAATCAATCTGACATCAGCCCCCCCCCATCAATCCTTCCACTAGAAAGGCAACAGTGAGATGTTTATTATAGTTACGTTTGCTCATAGGCAGCTACTGCACTGTACAGCTAACTCTTTTGACTTTATTTATTTTCTTTATTTAGTCAAACATGTACAAGTTAACAGTTGTAAGTATAAACACAGGAAATGGGTACGAATAAATGGGGACAGTAGGACAGGGATGTTAGGAACGCTAGTGCACTTATGCACGCCCCCTACAGACCTCTTAGGAAAGGGGTGAGGTCCACACTAGACAGTTTAGGGGTAAAGTTACGGGAGTTTAAGGATGTAACAACAGAGTTGAGTAGTGCATTCCAGGCATTGCCCGCTCTGTTGCTGAAATCCCCCTGCACATGCTTCCCCCACATGTATGCACGTCCTCCTGCCCACACCCTGCCCCCCCCCCCCGCATATGTGCACGGCTTCCCCAGANCATATAAATGAGTAATAATGATAATAATACATATATAGGTACTAGTTTGAGGATATGAAATTTTATACAAACTGCAAATGAGGACTATGAGAGGAAATTTAAAAGTATTTGTTATTAATCAATTTTTATTTAGAATATGTTAGAAAGATGAAATGTTATTGGATGATTTTAGGAGGATCTAATGGAATGCTATTATATAGTTTTACTTGAAATTTAGGATATTTCATACAAAAGGATGTAAAAGCAATCTATAGTCAAATGAATGTTTAATAATTATAATAATTTTTTATATAATATACTGGATTGATATGAGAATTTGTTTGAAATGAGTTGATAATTTGTGAGTTTACATACATTTGAAAGTGAAGACTATGGAAGTGATGCACAAAAACTTTACAACCAAATGACATGCTGTACGTGATTGAAGAAGGTTCCATGTGTTATGTATTGTCTTTGTCTGACCAAAAAAGAAAAATATTCTTTTAATAAAAAATCAAGAAATGATAAACAAAGATTTTTGGGTTTGCGGAAATACCATCCCAAGAAAATAGAAATTAAGAGCTGCAGCAATCCAAGTTCCCTTCCAACTCTGTTAACTAGCTTATAAAATGTTCTTCCATACCCAAAAAATCCTGCCCCCCTACCTGTTGTTGAGTCCTGTCTGCATGAATGACGTCCACATTGATGCCTTCGTAAACAAGCTCATGAAACAGCTCTTTAGCCCGTTCAATAGATTGGACAAACACCAGGACTGGAGGTGTGAAGCCCTGTAATGGAAGGGAAAGAAAAGAAGAGAGCCAGGGTGAGGTGACAATCCAGACAGGAAGTGCAGTGATGCTGTGATTGTCAGCTAGCCTACTCAATTCCCTCTTCAGATTCAGAAAGTACTCTTAACTCTACATCCACACAATCCTGTTCTGACCGAGGCTTCCCAAGAGCATGAAGCAAACTCCTTGTCCCGACAAAAAACTCTTTTTATTAATTTACTATGAATTCTGCTCATTCACAGCCAACAAAGTCCCTTGAAGATTTACAGTCACAGACCTTACCTGGCTTAGAGAGCTGACAGGCCGATATCTGCAAAACTTGGCAAGGAGTCTCGAACTAATTAAGTGAGCTAATTGTCTTCTGCAAACTCCACTTCCCTTTCGCTCCTCTTTTATTTCCTCTGGGAGGCGCCATTCATTGTCCACCTGTGGCCTTACTCCCAAGTCGACCCCTGTTCCTTAGCTGTTCCCTTCGTCTGGCAAGCCTGTGCATGCGCACACTGGGAACAGGCTCCAGCTGTTAGACTGCCTCACTGATCTCCGACTCCGAAGGCAGCTGATAACTGTCGGACGGCCCTGGCACCATCTCTGCCTCCGACACAGAGCCTTCATCAGAGCCTTCCCAGACTCCAGGACTGGCCCATGTTTCTCCCCAACCTCCTCACTGTCCGCTGCCAGCTCTGCTTGCTGCTGGCAGGCCACAACAAATCCTATCATATTCAGGGTATTCTGAAATAAGTCCAACTGAGTTTTAAAATAGTTGGGCCCATGGGATTGGGACCTGCCTGAGAAAAATGAATCTTTCTAAACCTGGCTAGAGACATTGGCAGTCAAAACAGACAAAAGCTTTCCCCACTCCGGTGCAGAAAGGAAGGGGAAGAAAAGAGAGAGGGTGGGCTGGCAAAGGGAGGGAGGGAAGGTAGAGAAGGAAGGAGGGAAGAAGAGAGAGAAAAACTAAAGAAGGAAAAGGAAGAGGAAATATACTGTATACATATACAGGTAGTACTTGACTTACAACAGTTCATTTAGTGACCATTCAAAGTTACAACAGCACTGAAAAAGCGACTTGTCACCGTTTTTCACACTTAAGACCGTTGCAGCATCCCCATGCTCATGTAATCAAAGTTCAGATGTTTGGCAAATGACTCATATTTATGACGGTTGCTGTGCCCCGGAGTCATGTGATCAGCTTTTATAGTCCTCTTGCAAGGAAACTCAAATGAGGAAACCAGATTCATTGAACAACCGTGTTACTAAGGTAACCACTGCAGTGGTTCACTCAACAGCTAGGGGAAGGAAAAGTCATAAAGTGGGGCAAAACTCAAATGAACAAATGTTTCACTTAGCAACAGAAATTTTGGGCTCAACTGTGGTCGAGGACTACCTGTATCAACCAAGTCAAGGGCTACCTGTATCAACAGACTAAGTTACTAAGAATATTTATTTCATTCTCAGGATGACCAGGGCCAGCTTTCCTTGACTTGAGGCCAAGGCTGTTTGAAGGACCAACTCTCCATTCGCCCAGCTGATCAGAATGGTAAGGCAGGGAATGTTGAGGGTTCCATCTATTAGGGAAGTACTATATTTTTCTGAGTATTAGACACTATAAGATACACCTTTTTCCCTCAAAAAAGAGGCTGAAAATCTGGATGTGTCTTGTACATCGAATACAGCATTTTTTTGCCTCCCGAAGCCCCGCCTCTTCACTAAAATGGCCGTGCATAGCCTTATGGAAGCTTTCAGAGAGCTTCTGGGGGCTGGGGAGGTCCATTCTTTTGCTCAATTTTGCCCTCCCCCAGCCCCCCAGGAGCATTCTATAAGGTTCCATAAAACTATGCATGCAGTTTTCTTGACCAAAAACAGGCCCATTTTTGTGAAAAACATGCTGTTTTTTGCTTGTTTTTGCCCCCTCCCCCCGAGCACTCTGCAACTCTCCCAAAGGCTTTTTATGCCTTTTTTTGAAGGGAAAAAAAAAACAGGCCCGTTTTTGTGAAAAACAGGTCGTTTTGGGGAGATTTGCAGAGTGTAAAAAAGAGTGGGGCTGCGGAACTTGTTGCCCTCACCTCCAATAGTGCCAGAAGTACAACCGGAAGTCTGTGGATTTTTTATTGTAAGCCACTTAGAATCATCTGCAAGTTGGGTGGCCGTATAAATTTGTTTAATAAACGAACAAGTCATATAAATTCCAGTGTTTCCTCCTGTGTTTCAGCTTCAAGAGGGTGGCCCAACATTACCCAGTGATCTCCAAGAACCAGCAGAGATTTGAGAAGTGTCTCAGCGTCTCAACTGGATGTTCTAATTCTGATACCACATAGCACCAGAAGAAAGATTAGATACAAAGAACAATAAAGCTCATTCTAAAATTCTGCCTTGATTTGCTCATAGGCTGCTATCTCACGAGACGAATAATCTTTGACTTGTTGATATGAAAATGTTAGTTATGTATCTGAGGCCTATCTAGGTTTTTCCTCCACTTCTCTGTCTCCTTCCTTTCTTCCAATATGAAGGTATCTTAAAGAAAGCATATTCTCACGGCATTTCAAGTGAATTCTGTATATTCTAAAACATCTGCATCTCTCAAGGTGTTCTATTCATTTATTCTGCTTTATTAACACACTAGCTGAGAACCCGGCATGGCCTGGGTATTTATTTATAGAGGGGAAATGTCCGGACCAAACGTAATTTCTAATGTTGGATTTTCCCCCTTACCAGAGGGAGCACCCTTGTGGAGTATTGTGAAGCCATTACTATGGCAACTCCACTGTGCTGCATGGTAGAAGGCATTTTACGGCAGTACAATAGAAGCCATTTTAAGGCACAGCAGACTGTATCTTAACAGAACACACACCCCAAGGGGTTTTAGGGGTGTCTTACCCCCCATAGTATTTGTTTCCAGGGAGTCATCTGTGTACCAAGTTTGGTTGAAATTGCTTGGGGCGTTCCAGAATTATGCTGAAACATACACACTCACAGCTGTTTTTATATACAGTATACAGATCAGGTTGATTCAGCGTAGAAAACTCAGCATGAAAAACAAATTACCTTTTTCACAAGATCTCTCATAGCTAACAGTTTTCCTGTCTCTGATCCAACAAATAAGAGCTCTTGATCTACTGTCTCGACTGCAGCATTTCTGAAGCAAAAAGTCAAAGACCTGTGTCAGTTCTGAAGACAGCTCAGGCTTAATAGACATTTTTTTAAGGTGAACTCCCTTCTGTATTTGCCTTGTGCCATTCAGGAAATATTACAAGGGGTTTAGAAAACATCTTTCATCAAAATATCCCAAAGGCGCTTTTCCAAAAGGGAACTGGACTTTCTTGGCTTTTTCCTTGAAAATGTTTCGTTTCTCATTCAAAAAGATTCTTCAGTTCTGAACTGAAGCAGCTTGTTGGATGAGAAGCAAAACCTTTTCAAGGAAAAAAAACATATGTCACATGACATGATCGAGTTTGACACCAGTGACACAGAAACAACGTATATGGAATCATATTTTTTGAGTGGCGGGGGGAGTCTTACCTTCCCCTGTTCTCAACAGAATGGCTGTTAGTTACATTTTACAGATGCCAAATCCTTGAAAGCACAGCCTATTTTACATTGGGAAAGGAACACTATATATTGCAACCTGCTGCTTTGTTCTACCTGCAAATTACAATCAACAAAATAAAGAGAAGTGAATATATGCAGCTCAGGATTGAAATATGGAGCTCCTGGTGGTCTCCGAGCTTGGCTGCAGATGTTTCATTACCAATTAGATAGCATGCATCATCAATGTCGGTGAATGTGGGATTTGCACCGTTTATATACTCTAGCTTGGCCTGCCAGTGTTACTGGAGCTCTATTTTTTTCCACTATAATACATTCGTAATATTTTCTGCTTGATAATTTGTCTGGTGTCAACCCCTGCTTATCTGGGTGCTGGTTGCTAGAAATGATGTGCAAAATATTTTGGGCTCAATTGTGTCGATTTCATTCTGAGCAACTATCAAAATGAAAATGACCAATTTGGTCTTTTATTTTCTTCTAAGTTTATTATCTTTCTTGAATGGCATGAAAACACACTTTATCTCAATGTGTCTATTGATGGTTGATTTGTCTGAGTGCCAGGCTTCCAGCAAATCTCTAGCATTTTTGGATTTAGCCTGGTCTAGGATGCTTGGTTTCCTAGTTGAAAGTATGGTTGAGTCTGTCCAAGTGTTGTGAGATTAAGGAGAACACCAAAGACTTCACAAAATAAAAAGAGTTTAGTGAGCAGAGTTCACAGAAGAAGACGTAGCTCAGCAGCAGCAGCCACTTAGAACAATCTTGCTCCCTTTCTGTATGTGGGACCTTGGGAGACAGGAGGAAGAATGGCAGTCTAGACCAGTGGTCTCCAACCTTGGCAACTTTAAGACCTGTGGACTTCAACTTCCAGAGTTCCACAGCCAGCAAAGCTGGCTGAGGAACTCTGGGAGTTGAAGTCCACAAGTCCACAAGTCCACAAGCAAAGCTGGCTGAGGAACTCTGGGAGTTGAAGTCCACAAGTCCACAAGTCCACAAGCAAAGCTGGCTGAGGAACTCTGGGAGTTGAAGTCCACAAGTCTTAAAGTTGGCAAGGTTGGAGACCACTGGTCTAGACTG